TTCGTTTTGTGTTCATTCTAGTAGGCTACGGAGTTTTGATTTTAAACGTTTGTTTAGCCAACAGCTACCTGAGGATTTAGTTATTTTACTAGTGCAGTTGATAGTACCTAAATTTTCAATCTTATTATCTAAACTATGTTCGCATTTTAGGCTAATCCATAAACCCAAATACGATTAGCAACAACGACTATGATGGGTTTATTGATAAATGTTAAAGGCGATCCAGATGATTTCTAAATTTAGAAGACATGGAGATATAGTGTGAGGTATGTGTGGGCCAGGTTAACATGCAGGTTGTTGGCGTATATGACGATTTAAAAATAATGAACATGACCAGAAAATAATTTTAAAGTTTAGACTGCTTGTGAAACTTCAGGCAGGAATATGATGCGTTATAAACATTCCATAAGGAGTTACTGCATTCAGCCTAGGGACACATACAAATATATGGCAAAAGCAACTGAAAAACATATACATATTAAGTACAAAAAAATCATCCAGTAAAATAGTTGAACTCACCTGGGTTATTTTTGAAAATTAGATTATTCAGTGGACGACATATATAACGCCATTCGTGAGTAGTATTGATCCAAAAGCATCCAGAATAAAACATGCAGTATGGCAATTAATTCCAGGGTGCTTGATGCTGTTGAGGTTTTTGACACTCGCTCGGATCAGAACAATCGAATGAATCCAGATAATTGTATGGTTGTCATTGAACGAACCATCTAAAAATGATTGCAGAAAACTTATAGCTGAAACTCACCGTATGTTTTCGGAGTAGTCATCCTCGTTGTTTGGCAATGGAACTCGAGAATATGAAATTAGCCAGGCAGTGGTCGGAAGAAAAGATATTACAGGATAGTACATAGTTTAAAACAGGATGAGGTGTTAGGCGAAGGAACACTAAGAATTAGATCCAGATAACTATTCAATCCTCGATTGCATTGTTAGTCAATGTATATTTACGCTATTAACAGGTCATATTTGCTAGAGCTTGATGTTTAAACAAGTCTATGTTGCTGAAGCATGTAAATGATAATAAAGCTTCTTAACGAACCATCAAAGCTAATTAGTTGATATAGATGATCAACTTTTTTTTTATCGATTGAGCTAGTACGTTATGTGAACTAATAGATATAACATTACGATAATACATGTGAGCATTAATCAGGACTGTTAGAATATTGGGTTAACATAAATACAAAATACATCAAGAAATTTAGAATGGAAATAAGATTAACAACAACAGGTTGCGTTTCTTTAGTTGGGCTCACCAATGTAGAACTATGGTCTACTATGATATTAGTATTGCTCTAATAATAGACCTAATCCTAAATTTGTAGATTTGTCATGATATAACTGCCTAATCTATAAGATCTTACGTGGAAGTCACACCATCGACTACGACAACTCACTGTATCGTATCAATTACCAATACATGACGTAGAACAAGGTTAGGCTAGAGAAAGAACAATATATTTAATATGAATGGAAGATATAAGGTAACATTCAGCGGAGACCACGCCTGCATGGTCGAGCCATGCCATCCGATCAACTCCAGTCCATTCAATTCATCTTCGCGCTTTTTCCATTGTTAGGTAATTCCCCGAGTTAAATATTGAATATCTATTTTCTGAGTAGTCTCGTGTTCACTGCTTTGTGGATTGTGTGGCTATTGTCCAATGCCACTACAGGCTCCCTAATCCAGTCAACCACCACTAAAAAAGAAAGGGCGAGAGTAAACAGCCTTGTCTGATTCAGCTCCTCACTTGAAATGCATCTGTCAGCTGTCCTTCATGCATGAAACCGCACTGTAGTCTATCGTATGAATTCCAGATGATACTAACGATCCTCTCATGAGTAGTGTAGTTTAGTTACGAGTTCCACCGAACTGATTGTTCGATGACGATCCGTAGTGTTGCGATTTGGTGAGTGCTTAACGAATCTTACGGAATCTGGCTTGTTCATCTCGAAACTTGACATCTAAATCTTTTATACGTTTCAGCAATACTCTGCTGAAAACGTTTCCTGGTACCGATCGTAGTGTGATTCCCCTATAGTTCTCACATTTGCTAAGATCTCCTTTCTCTGATATGTTGATGAGGTGTCCTTCTTTTCAGCTTGTCGGTACCTGTTTCTTCTCCCAAATTTTCCTGAATAGAACGTGAAATATGTTTGCAGTCACTTCTAAGTCTGACTTCAGTGCTTCAGCTGGTATATTATCAGGTCCTGCTGGTTTCCCACCCTTGATTTGTCTAGTGGCCATCCTGATTTATTCGATTATTGGTGGAGAGACATCTATAGGAAGGTCTGTAGGTGAGCTGAGCTGGCATATTCAAGAGTCCCTCGAATTATTATTATTAATTAATGACTTTATTCAATATTGGATTTTGGCACAATTGCACATCCCTCCCTCTGTTCTTGTATCTCATTGATTCTCCTACCTTTTTTGTCCTTGACCGGTCTGCCTGGTTCACTGTATTTCCCTACCAATTTCCTCGATGTGTCATATGGTTGTTTCGTATTTCCTTCTACTGCAGCCTATTCCTCTGTCATTATATAGTATTCCACGTATTTCTGCCTATCGGCTCTAATGCTCTTTTTCACTTTCTTGCTTGTTTCTATGTATTCAGCATGAGCCATGAATTTCTCCGTTCTTGTTCAGCTGTTGTTGATTATTGTCTTCATGATCTTCCATTCTTCAATCTTGTCTAGGGTTTCGATAAAGATCTATTCTTTGTGATGATGCTTGTTACGGCCCAGAACCACCTGACATATTGAAGTCAGTGTTTTTTTAACCCCTTTCCATCATAGTAGTTTCTTCTTTCAGTAGATCTTGCAAGGCCTGTAACCTGTTGTTTAGAGCTATCTTGAGTTGGTAGCGCACGTCAGCATGCCTGCGGAAGACTTTACTGAACCTTCGTAGTGCTGTTTCCATAGCTGCCCAGTGTTTCTTTACCTTCAGTTTCATCTTGGCCACAACTAGGTAGTGATCTGAATCTATCTCAGCTTTTCTCCTGGTTCTCACGTCTTCTATTGTCCTTCTGAATTTTTTACCGATACAAATGTGATATATCTGGTTTTCTGTGGTGTGATACTGTGAGACCCACGTAGCTTTGTGTATGCGGTTGTGTTGAAATGTTGTGCCGCCTATGACCGAATAGCTTTTAAAATTTGTCATCATTCTCGTTCCTATCTCTCAGCCAGTTCATGCCGTCCCATGATAATTTCACACCCCGTGTTATTTATTCCGATTTTGAAGAATAGACCCCCATCAGCTTAGTCAGGTCTTTTCCTGAGCACTTCGCTACGATCGACTGAAGCCTTTCATAAAATTGGTCTTTGCCGTCGTCTTTGCTATCATCGGTAATTGCACAACATTGGATACTATTCATTGTAATTACTATCTTCCTTGCTTGAAGTATGTTTTGATGATCCTGAGTCCATGTAATCCAACACAGTAAATGCGTTTCGTGCATCTTTGAACAGCATCAGGGCATTTTCCTCTTCGTGACCGGAGTACAGCAGAATATCTCCCGTACCTAACCTTTTCTGTACAGTTTGAGTCGAATGGGTTTCGCTGATTCTGAGCACCATAAGTTGTATTTCCTCATTTCCGTTGCTATTTTACTGGTCCTTCCAGTCTCACACACTATCCGGACGTTCCATATTACTATAAAAATCGTTGCTGTGGTTGTTAGAAGGTGAATCGGCCTCGTAACTTCCGTAGAATCTCGACTTTCAACACAAAGCGTCATAATTCTTCTTTCAACTCGGGGCGCAGAGTTTAATTGGTTTAACTTGTTGAATCTGGCTGGAGTATTTTTAGCGAGGCTTTTTTATACGTGATGGGTTTGCCGACTCCACGTCCAACCCTCTTCCTTTGTACAGGCTCAGGGCCGTCAGTAACTCGAGAAGAGCTACAGGTGGAGCCAGATGTTATGGTAGTGAATTGGAAACATTTCGGGTGGTTTAGAGACAGGAACTTCAGTCTAATTATGATGCACTACACTCTGTCTGTTTTATAAGACTAGGAGTTCCTTCGGAAATTTTACAACGATTAATAACACTCATGACTACTCGCCCGAATTCATGTAAATTTCATTTGATTGCTATTCAAGCTATGTAATTATCAATCAACCAAGACTGTCTAAGCAATTTCCCTGGAGTCCTCCAAGAGGAAACTTAGTGTCAGACATGTCACGGAAATTCAGTATTTTGCTGTTGTTCTCAAAGACCTTTTAATCGAGGGTTCAAAATCTAACCAAGCTGAAAGTCTGAAACAAAGGGTTTAGAGCTTTAATTGTAAATGTTCGATGAGTTGAGAAGTAGTTGATCTCATCAGGATAGTTGGTATAACAGATGCACAGCATGGAATACTAAAACATGACTCAGTATGGATGCTTGATGGAGGGCCAGCAGTCAGTGTGTTTCCAGTAAAATGAATGGGATCAGCATCACTGTTGAAAATCTAGTGCACTATTTATTTTAGTAACTCATTTGCTTCTCTAATATATATTTTCCAAAAACCCAGAATAATGTCATGATAATTTAACAATATTTCTTTCACATGTTAAATATGCCTAGACCCCTGACTGAGCAAAATGACAATCCTCTGTCACAAATATAAAAGCTCTTCAACCAAGAGCTTCTATTCTATTTATAATCACTTGAATCATTTTAGGAACCTGCCAGCCAAAACTGTAGTCACAGCTTATTAGGTCTATTCCCACTCATCAAGAGTACCTTAATACTGTATTGTGATGGCCTTTATCAGAGTTTGACTGAACTAGTCTTACCTCTTCCTGATAAAACACTGTTTAGTGAAACAAACCAATGATTAATAGAATGTTTTTTTCCAGTATAGTTCTTATGTAATAGGTCTCTGAATGTCAGTATTGGTGGTCTATATTCAGTAGAAATGAAATTTTGTACGTCAGAGGTTTCTATTTCGACAACTATTTGGTTTTGTTCAAGTAGCCCAACACGTGAAGCGCGCACTCTGGTTTGTTCGACCTATGGTATATGGTATATGGTTTTAGATGTTTTGCTGACATGCTGTAGTATCATCGGGCGTTATACTCGTAAAAGTAGCAAAGCTGTCGCATGTCGGTGAGGCTTTTTGAGTTTCGTTCGTTACAATGGACCGTTCGATTTTGACAATGTCATCTAACAAAATCTCACCGAATTGTTTGAAACTTGTTAAGGTTTTGAACATATCAGGATATTATTAAACCTTTAGGCTTCTTCTGATGACCGTGATGCCCGAGTCATATCCTCCCGGATGGGTATGACTGTTCCAGAATTCATGAACGTCCTGGGTTACTCGAGTACTACTGAACAAAATATCTCTAATTCAAGTAGTTTGGTATGGCCCAAACATACAGAGTTAGGTAATGGATCCCTTTTCTCTAATTTAAGGTTCTCTAGAGGTCAGAGATCCCTGGTCATCAGTTTATCAATATGAACCTACTGATGTTAGCTGGTGCATTCGTTTTAAAGCACTAGGGTGTTATAAGTAAGCTTTCTCATATTGCCAAATGAATTTAGCTTTATCCCACCTCCTTTCATAAACCGTTCTTATAAAGTACCAACAACTCCCATCCCGGCCTCTGATCTTAACAAAAGTACGCCTACAATTGACCAAGTATCTCCCGGTAGTAGGACAATACATACACTCCAGAAGATAAGTACATCCGAAAAATCAAATGTGGCTCCAGAGACTATCACATTAGCTGAGCGTCATAAGTGAGGTCTTTTAATAGGCTTGGTAACATAATGTAATTTCAGGCTATGGGAAGATCTGTTATTGTCTGATAGCGAAGAAGAAAATGAAGAGAAGCCAAGACCAAGAACATCGTCTAGAACTATTGCCGTTGAGACACCAATAGATGACGGTGATATGTTGGTTAAACCAGGTGATAAAAGCACGTCAGAGAGCCTTTCTATTCTCAATCATGCACTACGTCCACCACCACCATTCGTCAGTCCACTCTCCATCCTAAATGCTGACGGTTCCGGAACAGAATCTCCTATTCCAAATACCCAAAATGGCCTCATAGATCTGCCGCAAATTGATGTTAATAAACAAGATCCTCTTGAATCAAAGACATCCGGGCGTATTTCTGAGGCTCCGACCGAGTGTGTTGTGAGGTAGGTTGTTTTCGTCAAAATATCTGTTGCTATTATTGTTTGATAATTTTTAGCGTGATTAGTTTTATAATTAGATGCTTCGACCTAGTTAAGAATTTTATCCGAAATGAACTGTAAAGTTATTTCTTGTTACCCTTGATATTTCATGCTACTCAATAATAACCACTTCTATACTTACAAGCTATAAATTTCCGGAATCAATGGATTTTCCTCATAAGATATGTGAAAGGTTAAAGACGCTCATAATCACAACGTCATGTTCTAATTTAACAGATTCGGTGCAGACAGTAGTGGTGTGAATCTGTTACCTGGAGAAAGACTACTCGATCTTGAGTATGCGGATGATATTGTCTTACCGCGCGGTGATATCTAAGCCATGCAATCTGCACTTAATCAGCTGGTAATCTATGTCCACAGGTATGGAATGTGCCTTGTACCTCCTGAGTGCAAAGTATTCTTTTGAGATCGACAGGAGATTGTGCCTTCGCTTACTCTTGGCAGTGAGTATATAGTAGTCGAAGTTCATATATTTGTGTAACTGTGTAAGTTCTGATGATGGTGAATAGTGAAATCAGTTCACCTATAGTAAAAGCCAGAGGCGGCTTAAGCCAATCTGGGCGATGTTTTTTTGCGTTTTTGATGTTATTCTATCCATAATATGTTTAATACATAGATCCAAATGTATATTTCACTCGTTTCTCCAAACAGTAAATAGCAAAGGGAGTATTTCAACAACTAGTGCTTCTTCTTGTATCTGATAGTATTTGGCTTCAGAGTAGGTTGTGCTTTTCAAGTAAGCCGTTAAATACGCTTTGAGATTTATGTACGTAATAACTATCAAAACAAATATTACGTAGTAAAGTTTACCCTGATAGCTGTACAGTTTCGAAATACACGGTTCAAAAGTTTGAGCACGCGTCTAGATCTACAATATCAGCCTGTTATACTTTCATTTATTTGAATACAAATATTGGTACGAAGGGGCACCACATACATATGCGCCACACAATAATGAGAATGTGAAGAGGTAAAGAATGTAAGGTGCGTATAAGACAAAGGGGAACAATAGCGAACGTAAATTAGTGTACGATAGTGAAATAATGATAATGGAAGAGACAGTTCAATTAGCAAAAGTACAGCCATAGAGAATTTTTTCACTTAAAGAAGTTACGTCCTTTTTTATGAAGAAAGTAAAAGAAGGTTACAGCAGGATCGCTATTGGCTTCTATTCTGAGCCATATGTGATAGCGTCTCTGGCCACTGTGTCGCACTATCTGGGATAGCACTAAGCATGAGGGCGGAACAAGCACTGTTAGAGTGCATCCCCGTTAACAGTCGTTTATGTGCTGTTCGGCTAAACGGCTCCGTAAGAACTCGGAAGGATAGGGACACACGTCGTTGCCTTTTTTTCGTTTCTGCCTACGCTCCCACCGACTGCAGCTCAGATGAAATGAAAGATGAATTTTACAGAAAGCTATCTGAACTTCTTCAGAAAGCTAAGCGTTCAGACATAGTACTCATAGCAGGTGACTTTAATGCCCAGATAGATAGTTTAAACCAAACAGAAAGGCATTTAGGTGGGTATTTTAGTATACCGGCACAGCGAACAGATAATGGTGATCGTCTGCTGCAACTGTGCTCAGACAATCATTTATTTTCAGCAAACACAAATTTTAAGCATAAGGAGAGACATCGTCTAACATGGTGACCCCCTACACCAAATCAACGATGGACTCAAATAGACCATATTGCCACCAGTCATCGTTGGAGAGGGTCGGTAGAAGATTGTCGTTCATTCTGGAGTACCTGCTTGGACTTCGACCATGCCCCAATACGGACACGCATCTGCTTGTGCCTCACTGGACGCAAGAAAGCCACATTAAAAAGATCCATTAGAACTGAATTGAGTAACGAGAAAACCAAAAGTAGGTTCCAGTAACAACTGAGGTCACACTTAGGTAGTTCTGAAAACGAGGCTGACCCAGATGTTGCTTGGAAAGCTATACCAACAGCTGTGGAAACAGCAATGGACTCTATTAGTGACTTAAACCACAGAGTTACAAAGAACCAGTGGATTTCTTTAAAGTCTATCACACTGATGGATTCTCGCAAACTCGTCCCATCAGGTTCCAAACAACAAATCAGATCTAGGTTAAGAAAAAGTCTAAGAAACGACCGTGAGCAGTGGTGGGCAACGAAAGCAAAAGAGATGGAAAAGGCGGCGACTATAGGGAACACAAGACAGCTTTACAGACTAATAAAAGAAACTGGAACTAATAAATCAAGTGTATGTCAGACTATTTCGAATGAAGACGATACCCTCATCTGCTCTCAGTCCAGACGTTTAGAACGATGGGCGGAACATTTTAGGGAACAGTTCAGCTGGCCTTCAGCTACTCTACAACTACCCTCCAATCCCAGACAGTGTGAATGGAACATTGAAGTAGGTCCCCCAACTCTTGCTGAAGTTCAAAAGGCTATAGTTGGTCTGAAACGAGGAAGGGCAGCTGGTCCAGATGGATTGGCTCCAGAGGTCTTTAAGGATGGTGGTCCAATTTTAGCGATTAGGTTGACTAATATTTTAGCTAAGATATGGGAGTCGGACGTAATCACATTTGACTGGTCGCAATCACTTATCGTCCCAATATATAAGAGAGGGCCAAAATCATCCTGTGACAACCATAGAGGGATTAGTTTGACTAATATGGTATCTAAAATACTAGCCTCGATAATTATCAGACGCCTAACTAAGACTCGTGAACTGCAAACACGAGAAAATCAGGCTGGCTTCAGACTTAATTTTGGCTGCATCAACCACATATTCACCATTCGTCAGGTTCTAGAACACAGGCATAATTATCGGCGTCCGACAATGGTGATCTTTCTTGACTTAAAAGCAGCATTTGACTCGGTAGACCGCGAGATTCTGTGGCAGTGTCTGTCATTGAAAGGAGTACCTCAGAAGTACATAAACCTTGTGAAGGCTCTTTACTCGAACACTACTAGTCGAGTCAGAGCTTATGGCGAACTGTTATCTGCTTTTGCAACCTCAAGTGGTGTCCGTCAAGGCAGTTCACGTTCTCCATTTCTGTTTAACTTCATCATAGACCTACTGATAGGTATAACATTCTGGTCGACTGAATTCTCGGGTATTGATCTATCAGGAGGTCCACTTATCGACTTAGAATACGCAGATGACATAGTCCTGTTTGGTGAAGACGCTGATAAATTGCAGAGTCTTTAAGTAGCACTAAGCAACAATGCCAGAATGTTTGGAATGCGCTTCTCTCCCTCTAAATGCAAGTTGTTGCTTCAGGACTGGCCTGCGTCAACACTTGAACTAAGGATAGGGAGTGAAGTAGTCGAACGCGTCGACAACTTCACTTATCTTGAAAGTCTGATCAGCCCTAATGGGTTGGTATCGGACGAAATCTCAGTACGGATTCGAAAAGCTCGTTTGGCGAAGGCGAGATATCCGTCTATCAATAAAAGGACGATTATACTGCGCGGCAGTCCGTTCTGTTCTACTTTACGACAGCGAAACATGGCCATTAAGAGTAGAAGACACCCGTAAGCTACTAGTATTTGACCACAGATGCCTTAGAAATATTGCTCGCATCTGCTGGGATCACCGGGTAAGTAATAGTGAGGTTAGACGCAGGATATTAGGGAATGATGGTAAATCAGTTGATGAGGTTATGAATCTTCATTGACTGAGATGGTTGGGCCACGTATTACGTATGCCTGAACACCGATTACCACGACGTGCAATTCTAACCGGGGTAGGGGATGTTTGGAAGAAAGTTAGGGGCGGCCAAACCAAAACGTGGCATCAGTGCTTGAAGTCACTAACTTCTAGTCTGAGCCATGTTGGTAGATGCAGACTACTTGGTTGGGGTCCGCGTGACTATCGTAACCAATGGTTGGAGACTCTTGGAGACATGGCTCTGAATCGATCACAATGGCCTCGGTGTATACATTCTCTGTCTTCCCTTAACCTAAGAGATTAAAATCACTCCATATCTTTCTTTCTACTAACTAATTCTTTCTTCCTGTACTGTGTGCTTATATGCAATCTTTCTCCTATATATTACCACCTTTGACCTAACCACTCATATGAATCCGGTGTTCATCTTGCTGTGCTAATGAGGTATGGAAACCTGGACCGATGCATATTTGTGCCTGGTCCTACGTTGTAGCTGACTGACTGACCGAACCCCAACCAGGGAAACGCGAAAGACCGACAGAAGCCAGTCCTGTAAATCCTTCTTTTTACCACGACACCATGTCATACACTGATCACCTCTCCGCCTCTTCCAACCAGTCCCAGCGTCGGCAAATAATGCACGACGTGGAATTCTCTGGGACGACATTCGTAGAACATTTCCAAGCCACCGAAGTCGATGTTTCAAGATGGAAACACCAATTAGGTTATCGTCACTGAGCCCGAACACAAGATGCCGAACCTCTGCATTACTAACATGGTGTTGCCACTGGATGTCGGCAATCCTTCAGAGACAACGATGATCAAACACAGAGTCGCCTAACATCCTCAACTCGGAGAGGCCAGGTTTCACAAGCATGGAGCAAAAGTGCTCTCACCGACGCGTTGTAGATCCGATCTTTTACAGCCAGACTAACATCACGAATGCGTCAAAGATGGCCCAGATTGGCATAAGCCGCTCTGGCTTTCATTTACGTCCATTGATCTCATCACTCACGCCACCACCAGCACTTATGCAGCTACCTAGATACACGAACTTCTTGACTATTTCTATCTGCTCACTACCCAGGGTGAGTGTAGGATCAGGGTCCTGCCAGTCTTGTAGAAGCACTTTGCACTTCGAAGGTGCAAAGCACATGCCGTACCTACGGACATTGATTACCAACTGATTAAGTGCGGATTGTATGACTTGGGCATTATCGCACAGTAAGACAATATCATCCGCATACTCAAGGTTGAGTAGTCTTTCTCCAGGCAACGGATTCACACAGCCATTACTTACATCCATCAGAGCTGTTTCCAGGTCATCGATAGCAAAGTTGAAGAGGAATGGTGAGATTGGGCAACTCTACCTAACCTCACTGTGTGAACGGAACAATGGAGAGAGGAGGTTGTATGTCCTCACTCTGTCGGAGGTGTTTGTATATAGGGCTTTTAAGATGTCAATAGACTTCTCAGACACACCCTTCTGCAATAGACACTCCCAGAGAACAGTCCTGTCCAGCGAATCGAAGGCAGCCCTGATGTCAAGATACACTACGATTGTTGGCCTTTGATAAGTATGACAGTGTTCTAACGTTTGGTGGAGGGTGAAGATATGATCAATACATCCTCGACCAGAACGAAAACCAGCCTGGTCTTCACGAGTCAATCTTTCTTGGGTTTTGAACAATCTCTGAAGTATGACGGAAGCCAATAATTTTGACGCAATCGGAAGTGGACTTATTCCTCGACAGTTGTTACAGAGACTGCGTGAACCCTTTTTAAAGTTAGAGACTGATTGCACGATGTTGAAACACTCTGTAACTCCCAAAACTTTGTAAACAACGCAGTCAGTTCCTTAACCAGAAGGTCACCACCATCTTTAAGAAATGTCGGAGGTAGGTCATCTGGGCCCGGTGACTTGTAGCGCTCCAAGAGTTGGAGTTCTTTGTGGACTTCCGCCTCATTCGATGGATTAGTCGACACAGGCCTTGGAGGGCAGGACAGTCTGATCGATGTTGCCGGAGCAGCAGACCAGTTGAACTGCCCTTCGAAGAACTCTGCCCATCGTCCGAGACATCGATGGGTGTTAGTGATTGGCATCCCATCATCCTCACAGATTGTTTCGCTCACACCAGACTTCTTGCTGCCAGTGGCTCGGATAAGAGCTTCCGGTAGTCACCAGATGTAGCTGCTGCTTCCAACTCATTAGCACGCCTCGACCATCAAGCTTCTCGGTCCTTACGCAAACTTTGCCCAATTTTGTTACGTAACAGTCATCGTTTGTGGAAAAACTCACGGTCCACCGAGTAGACCAACGGGCTTCAATAAGTTGTAAGGAGCGTGAAGAAACCCAGTGTTTATAAAGTGGACGTTTCGTGAAGCTGCAAGCGACTTTACTCGCCATTTTCATGGCGTCATCCAAATGCAACCAGTGCTCATCTGTACTTTTCGGTGGGATGGTAGCTAGCCTTGAACCTATCTCGATTTGATATTTAGTTGCAGCAGAAGCTGCAACCAATTTACTGACATCGATCTGTTTAGATCGATGAATTTGTTAGCCACTGGAAGGTAAGGTAAGATTAGCGCAAACAAGTGCATGATGAGAGTCCAGATTGGTACTTCAAAAGAAACGGTAGTCTTGTACACAACCACGTCAGCGGTAGCTGATCGCGATGTGATCAATCTGAGTCCAGGTTTGATATGCAGAGGGAGGACGCCAGGTGGCACATCAGCGATGACTGTGCTGGTAGTTAGTGCTAGCCAGAAACAGGTTGTGGTCTGTGCACAGTTGCAGTAGACGGTCTCCGTTATCTGACTTGCGGTCAACAATTCCCCTAAACGACTCTCTTCTGTGCCTAGACGCCCAACCTGAGCATTCAAGTCTCCAGCTAGTACTACCATATCTGTCGAACGCACTTTCTGTAAAAGAACTGTTAACTGATGGTAGAATTCATCGTTGATTGCGTCCGGGCTGCAATCTGTCGGAGCATAGGCGGAGATGACGATAGACCATTGTTTCTCACACTGATTTCTTCTTACTTTGATAGGACTTTATAATTTGACAGCACATAACCGACTGTTGATGGGGATCCAATCGACTAGTGCTGCCTCAGTTGTAGCGCTTATTGCGACACCAACGCCAGCGAGACCAGACGAAGATGCCACAGCGTCCCTGGATAAACGCACGTAAAACAAGCTTTTTGAAGCGACAGATGGAGATCGAATTTGTAGTACTTCACCAGAGTCTTGAATACGGGTCTCGGATAGACAACAGACGTCGATATTAAAACTTTTTAAAGACATAGCCGACCTTATCTGTTGTCCGATCTGCATTAGTGTGCGAACGTTGAAGGCAGCCAATTTGAATGGTATATGTGGTTTCAGAAAAACTGATTTAGTACTCATATTCGGTGGTAACATACAATTTTCAACCGGACAGTGACTCAAGGACGTTTAGATAGAACAGAGTTTCCACCATAGGCGAGCTGCTGTATAAGTTGAAAAATACCGATACAGAAAGCGGCAATAAAGATAGTAGGTAAGTGATGTAGTAATTAAAAAATATTAAGAAAAGAACGCGAATTGTCTGGCTTAATCGATGACAGAATAGTATTTTCAGTAATTATCGTCATTCCATTTTATTTGTGTGTGGGCTGTGATACTGCCTGTTTCAGTCAGTCAGTCAGCTACAACGTAGGACCAGGCAGGTAGTTCTCTTAGGGGGTCACAACCGGAGCCTTTGACCTAAAGGTCTGACCCACAGGGCAGTGGAGCATCGTGGGGAGATGCAGTCCCATGTTAGCCGGTGACCAACAATAGGTTCATACGTCATTTGTTCCCGCAGGGTACTGGAGCCTATGTGCACCATTGGTTTGGAAGCAAGATTTTCCAGCTCCGCTGGGTGGGCCCAACCTGGTTAAGGCGCCGGACATTCGCTTTTCGTCCTCCTAATTTCATAAACAACACCCTCTTCAGAAGAATGCAGTGAGTAAGACTTCCCTGGCAGTGGTTGTATTCACGTGACCTTGTGAGAGCATTTCGATTGAGGTAGTCAGCTCTCCCACTCTATCGTACCAGGGCAAATGAGGGTCTGTTATACTGAAATTGATCCTTATTCAAAACGTATGTATGCAAATATTTTTGTGGAGCTTTTAAGCGAAGTATTTTTGTTCTTAGCCTCTCGCTTTGTGGAAGGTCATGTGTCAAAATATTTTCACTCCAATTAGTGATTACGTAATCTACAGGAGAGTTTTTATCTACCTTTTTTAAAGATGCACTGATTTCATATGAAAGTTCCTTTGTGATGTAATTCTATTACTCTCTGTTACCTATTAATGAGTAGTTTTAATAAACAAAGTCACCACTTCAAAAAGGGATTTTCGATGGCTTATGAACTATATGAAAATATATTCTTTCTGTCCATATTATCCAACATGTAGTAACATTAGTTTCGCTAGTATGGATTGATGCTATTGAATAGCATATTTGTTAACCCAGTCTCAGTTTTACCATGTGTATTATTCTAAAGCTGGTACTTCTTTTGAAAGCTCATTCTACTGTCTACTGCTTACATGGGTTTGAGTATGTACATTTTTTGTAGTGTTACGACAGTAGTTGTTCCTATAGGAGGAGCGTGTATTTGGTTTTGTCACTAAACGACAATTACGATGTTTAAATACTAAGAGGAGTTATAAAATATCTAGTCTTATGATTAGCAACTACCAGAAGTGTACTTATGGCTATTGACTACTCACAAATACAAACTTGGTATTGAAATAAATAATGTATTTTAAAAGCTGTTATATTGAAGTTTGTCCCTTTTACTATTTCAATGAACTAGCAAATCTGAAAATCCAATGTACTTATCTGGAAGTCGACCATCTCCTTTAACTACAGAAAATCCATTACGAAAACATTATCCAGAAGATTTTAGGACGTCACTTCCAATCAACAATTCAAGTGATAATAACAACGTTTCTAGCAGGTTGACAACAGTTACAAGCACTACAACTCCAAAATTGACAATACAGAAGCCAATTCTAGTGTTGAGTGATAAATCCAATTCCAACCATGATATCGTAATTAAGCGCCGTACTGATACAATAACAAATAGGACAAGCGAATATTTCAATGAGCATTGTAAGGGTCCTGAAACCAAAAAAAATTTCATTCAACGTTTGCTTTTCGAATCAGGACAGTTTTTAACTCAGAAAGACTGTCTGATCACAGAGCTCAGCCCAATCCATCATAGTGACCCAGTTAATATACTTACAAAACCATCTCAGGTAATTGAAGAAAAATCTGTGTTTACTGAACAAAAGTTGGAAAACGCAACCAATTCTCCTGATGCTCATCAAACACCATCAGATGACTCTAATTCAAAAATCAACTGCAAATCATCGCATCAAGAATGTACCCGCTCAGATGGTAAGAATGTAACACCGGAAAAATCAAAAACAATGGGTCACCAATCGTTATTCCATTCTAACCGTCGAAAAGATGTCGAAAAAGTTGATGCTCGAACTGAAGATAAGACTTTTAAACTTAATTCTGTTTTCGTTACTCAGGAAGGATCGAATGAATCATCCATTAACCGTAATTGCCTTTCTAGTTTATCATGTCCCGTTGATGAATACATCCCACCTACTGCTAACTTAACTCCAGGATTGGCGAAACCTATCGATACACTAGAAAAAGAGCTCAACAGATCAGATGTCAATGAAATCACGGAAAAAAAGACGGGTAATAACGAAGTTCAGACTCTTATTACAAATATGGATAAATCTCATAGTTATATGAATAATTCCAGTAGCATGCCGCCCCCAGCTCACGATTCCACTGGTAAGAAGCTAAAAAGGCGATCAAAATGCAGCTCAAAACTTACAGTATCCAAGGAGTCAGTCACAACACCTAGTTCTGAGTTATCGACTCATGAACAACCACAAAATGATTCTGATATGAAGAAGGATATCAATGATTCTGTTTCCTTAGTTCAGAATACTGTGGGTATTTATCCTCTTCGTGACATCCCATCTGACTGTTGGATATTTCCTGACTTAACGGTAACCAAAGTTCGTAATAAAATACAGCAGTCCTTCTCTCGGACGTCAAATTCCTCACCTAAGAATGAAGAGGTTCCCGGGAGTTTTTCTTCATCTGATTATCATTTAATTAAAAAAATGAGAGATATTCTGCGTGGTGCTGTTGAAAATGACAGTTCAGTAATCTCCAAGACCAATCAAAGTAGACGTACTCGCTCCAGGTCACTTACAGGTATTTTACTCGTCCCACCACCCAGTTTCACTGGATCATGTGAAACGAAACAATCACACCATCTAGCAGACGAACCTTCGTCTCATAAGAGTTACCATGATATTTACACAATGACTTCGCCTCATCTTAATCGAACTACCATCTTAAATGATGTAGATGTTCAATGTGACATATGGCCTAGCAGTAGTAATAATAATTTGATATCTAGTCGTTTTGTTTCACAGTGTTCCGTTGGTATAATTAGCACTCCTACTCAAAAGCCTCTTGGTACTGTGCCCCCAATTCTCCGTGATCCAGTCTGTGATCTTACTAACTTGTCATCAAATATTGCTCAGAATTTACCGCAGTTGGGTGGTCAATCACTCCCATGTATGAATCTCTCTGATAGTTTGCTTTTTATTGAGGAACAATTTGGCAGGATCATCAAACAGGAGAATGAAAAGTAAGATTTTAATTGTTGAAATTAATTGTCTTATTATGCATGGTTTTCATTTTTTCCTGGTTAGAATCAATCATTCATTTTATATGTTATTTTGACAGTTTCTAGTAGTGGATTCCAGAACATATACATCTTTTTTTTGAGTTCATCAATATTTTATGTTCATCCAATCAAGTACTGGTGTTCTCAACGGCACTTATAATCAGCACCCATCGCTTCAAACAAAGTTATCAGATTGTTAAGGTACAACAGTCATCTCTTATTATAATGGGTACTGTACATCAGCATAATTTAGTAATTCTAAGGGAACGTTATAGTTCGATGCAAGTATCCTAATTATTAAACATTACTAAAACTTATTACAGTTTCCGAAGATTAACTTTTCATACAGAGTAACTAGATCCAAAATTCTTATGTACTATTTGTCTCCTAGATTTGACATATGCACTAACTGAATTATTATTTGACTGCTCCAATGATATATATATATATATATATATATATATATATATATATATATATATATATATATATTACAATCCTTATGGGTTAAAATGCAGTCATGTTCTAGAGTAATTGTTTATTGTCATCTTCATAAACATTAAGCATAAGGGAATACCCCCCCCCAGTAAGCAGTTAGCTTTATCTTCCATATTTCGTTATCGTTGCTTCACAATAGATCTGTTGTTCTTCAGTTTAGATACTACATTTTCCCTAATAAGTCTTAAGTTTCAACTTCATTCTACTTGTCAACTATTTTGTAAAACAATTTAGTATTGTTAGTCATCACGTTAACGTTATATGAACCTAAACCTGGCTACTGAGCTACATATTTTTAGTTTGGAATAATTGTGGGAAACAGAAATAAGACTAAGTTTTATATGGTGTGTCCCTTTTTAATATCTTGATGGACAATATCACTTTGTTTTGATATAGTGGATATAAAAATTGTCAATGAAATGTGTTTGTTTTCACTAAACATGTAATGTATCAAATCAGTACAATCTTCCATATCCAACGGTTACAGTGAACATTTTACTTCACATTTTCTGTTTCACGAAATATTTAAGAATTTGACACGTATAATGTTTATTTTATTTTTAATTTTCTTTGGCAGACTACAGGATAGTAACCCATCGAGTGAAATATTCAAAGCAGAAGAATGTAAATTCGAAGCATCTAAATGTTGGAAAGCGTTAGTTAGCGCTATATCCTCTTGTTCTCGTGATAATAGTTCTAGTGAAGTACCAAATCGTTCACAGATGCTTCTTAATTTACAACCACTTCATGAATATCCAGTACAAATGACTAGATCAGTAAAACACTATTTAGCTGCTGCATACATCTTTGAATCCAAAAAGGAAATACTCAGGGCTATTGATATGCTTACTGAAGCAGCTAATCAAATTCAACATTGTGTTCGTCGAATGCATCGAGTCGAAGCAAAATTAACTAAACGTCGTAATCATCGAACTGAAGTAGAGAATTCTCCTGATACAAATGAATTAACAATCAAAGTTAAACGCGATGCTAGTTGGATGTACTTATGGTATTATGTTTTAATGAGAATCAAAGCTGCCGTTGGATTTCATACATATCGTTTAAGATTACAGTCAATAGACAACTTGCGTGAAGAGGTAAGTTTCTATTTGTTCTATTTTTTTGGTTATTAGATTTATTATTTAGTATTCTTGATAAATACATATTCTCCACTAATTATCCTGTGAAATATATTCAACGGTAGTAATTTTTACTGTTAATATACGTTTATATCTTCGGTTGGTTGAACAAATCCAAACTTTGTTTATATCAAACTATTAAGGATCTTAACTAATCCTATCTTTATCTTCAATCACTTGTAACGCAATTATACTTCAATGTAACCATAAATAACATGACAGCGTTTGTAGGATTTAAAAAAGAAATTAGATAAGTATTGATAAATACTAGTCAAAAGGAGGGAAAATAGTTGCTTAAAATTTTTACATTTTTATAAATTCTCTTTATGAACAAAACTTGATCATCGTCAGCACAAGTTTTAATTTCAATATGTACATGATCGAAATTGAAACCTATTTGATACTTGACCTGCATATGGTTGTAGGATTCTTTTACAGTAATCATTTAAACACAAATGTCTTATTGTCAATTAACTACTGTATTTCTTGCAAACTGTTTCAACTTTATCGCTCAATTTCGGGTGTTAAAAGCATCGAAATGCCATACCTAACAAAATTTCAGTTCCAACGAAACCGATAATATAAGATGATATCACTCACTGATGAACTGTTTTCGCTATACCTAAAGACCTCAAAATTTCACTCATTGTCTATATAGTTCTCCAACAAGTTTAAGAAGTACTACTGAAACAGCAGTGCTCTAAAAATAGCACTCGGCCAAAGTCGTTTATTAGAAAGAGTCAAATCTCGTGATAGAATGAGATTCTATTGAAGTGTTGTATATCCAGTTCTAGAAACTGAAGCTATCATATACAATTTTGGTTTTTGGTATGCAAAGATTGCTCTTGTGTGTTAAACCTTTACCAGCAATCTCAAACAATTATATACTTCATTGTCTGAGTTCTAATTTTTCACTATTTAGGAAGGTTATAAAAAGATGCTAATCATCAAATGATTTTCCTCATTTTCGACAACTTATATTATCGTGCAGTAATATTGCATCCTTCAAGTACTTCGAATATGTTTTTTGGGAAGTAAAAACGTCTGTTCACTGAGCATCGACAAGACTGAATGTCCTGATCGGTTGTCTAGACGCAAGATTCTCATTGGTGGGAAGTTGATAACCACGAGTCGGGGAACGACGAGCATCTACCGCTTTGTGCAAACCGCATTGTAGAGGAGGATTTTTGTGTTCTGATTAGATGAAGTTTCAACTATTAAAATAAATGCATAGAATGCTAATCTATATATGAACGCAATGATAAAATGTAACCGAGTGATGGCTACTTACAAAACCATATGATTGACTTACGTCCCAGAATAAGGTCAAATACAAGACCACTAGCCGGCTGAATAGTTTACCTTGTGAAAAAATAGAGTGCTTCTATACAAAATATGAACCCGAAATAAGCATAATAAAATGTTATGGACGGAGAAAATCGGCATGTAAGTAACTGATTCTCCAATCAATTAAGATATGAGTGCTAAGCCTAATTTTTGAGCGTTGTGTCGAACCGCAACCTGATTTTGTCGAGCACCGTCTTCCGACAGGGTCAACGCCGATATAATTACTACTTGGCCCGACCGTGCTGGTCGGGCTTGCCTATCGTCATGAACCAATTGAACTATACTGGCTGGAACAATCGTTTCTCAAGGTCCTACCATGCCAGACAGGTCGGTTGAAGAGCGGTAAGACTAAAAGCAGCAAACTCAAGGTTCAAAGGTGAAGTCGTGCTTCTGACTGTACAGAGGCGTGACGGCAGTAAAGTGTTTCCTTCAGACAACCAGCATAACAGCGATGCTGCTTTCCCACAAGGAGAGGTGGGGCTAGAAAAGGTCGACCGTAAAAATACACACCTTGCCCTTATCCCGCGGAACTATCGCGAAAATTATTCACAAAAATGGTCATATATGACCGGCCTCAAGCAGTTGTCCCTTGAGCACTGCGGTCACGCTCTCAGGTCACCAAGACCAACTCTAACCCAATTTCCTTTTCAGTTGCTTCTAGAAGAACCCCTCCATGGTGTGAGAAACCGGGAAGTGGTAACCGCCCTCATGCCTCTAACAGCACTCAAGATCACTACTGCCTGAGATCCTTCCTGTCCTTCTAAACCCTAAACTCAAATTGATCTCACTACAGTCTACTTCCTCCCGTATGGATGTGTTTCTAGACTCTTATCATAGCATGGTTCGGACCAAGCCCATCTTTTTTTTAGTATCCAGCATACATTTTGTCCTAAACGAATTGGTATAAGCATATTATCTGCAGCTTCTGTTGTACCAAATATCAAACCGAACCAAATACAAGGCTAGCTACCAGTCATCCTACAAAAATGGGTCCTTTGATTGGGCCATCTCTTCTACTTACAAGTATATCTAGGAAGAGAAGCCCTAATGGGTTGGTGTCTGACGAAATCTCAGCACGGATTCGAAAAGCTCATTTGGCTTTTGCCAACTTACGTCACCTTTGGCGAAGGCGAGATATCCGTCTATCAATAAAACGACGATTATACTGCGCGGCAGTTCGTTCTGTTTTAATTTACGGCAGCGAAACATGGCCATTAAGAGTAGAAGACACCCGTAAGCTACTAGTATTTGACCACAGATGCCTTAGAAATATTGCTCGCATCTGCTGGGATCAACGGGTAAGTAATAGTGAGGTTAGACGCAGGGTATTAGGGAATACTTTGCGCTGAGAATTCTATATTGTACCAAAATTATAATATTGAATAAAGCTAATAATAATAATAATAATAATAATAATAATAATAATAATAATAATAATAAAAATGATGGTAAATCAGTTGATGAGGTTATGAATCTTCATCGACTGAGATGGTTGGGCCACGTATTACGTATGCCTGAACACCGATTACCACGACGTGCAATGCTAACCGGGGTAGGGGATGTTTGGAAGAAAGTTAGGGGCGGCCAAACCAAAACGTGGCATCAGTGCCTGAAGTCACTAACTTCTAGTCTGAGCCATGTTGGTAGATGCAGACTACTTGGTTGGGGTCCGCGTGACTTTCGTAACCAATGGTTGGAGACTCTTGGTGACATGGCTCTGAATCGATCACAATGGCGTCGGTGTATACATTCTCTGTCTTCCCTTAAACTAAGAGACTAAAATCACTTCATTCTTTCTGTCTACGAACTAATTCTTTCTTCCTGTACTATATCCTTATTGCAACCTTTGACCTAACCACTCCTATGAATCCGGTGTTCATCTTGCTGTGCTAATGAGGTATGCCTGGTCCTACGTTGTAGCTGACTGACTGACTGACATGAAAGGCTGATGTGGTTTTGAAGTGTTAAGTTTATTCAGTAAACAGTTCATATTCTCCTTTTTTGCACAAACAACTAAGATATCGTCCACATATCTCTTATAAAGTGACATGTTTTCGATGGGGTCTTCAGTCAGATTTTCAACATGAACATATCTGCTAATAACAGTCCTAACGGACTAGCCAAGGCAACCCCATCCATCTGGCGAAAGTATTCATCTTCAAATATAAACTGGACTTTATCAGTACATAATAGTAGCAAGTCTAAGAATTTTTTAAGTATCAGGTAATTTAAGGTTGTTCAAATATATTTAGTCACATGATATATCAATAGTTTTTTTCAAAGGTACTTTTGTGAACAAGGAATTCACGTCTGATTGTTCGAAATGTATTGCGTTAATATATCACATAGTTCTGATAATCTTATTATTATTGCAATATAATTTATACATTTGTGCAATCCAACGATACTGTTTCGATATTACTACTGAAAGTAGACAAAAGGTTCCTTAAAATTTTTGATCTAGCATTTAAAAATCGATTCTCTTTTCTAAAAAGCAATTACTTCATTACTGAATACATTGTTATTTGATTGTTCAATAATTCATCGTATATGACTACTCAGTAGTTTAAATGTAATCAAAATAGAGATTCCTATTTATTTGAACACAAATATATTGGTACAAAAGGGCACCAAATATATATGCGCTACACACTATCTGTCGAACCCCAACCAGGGAGACGTGAAGGACCGATAGAAGCCAATCCTGTACAGCTTTCTTTTTTTTACCACGACACCATGTCATACACTGACCACCTCTTCCAACTAATCTCAGCGTCGGCAAATAATGCACGACGTGGAATTCTCTGGGACGACATTCGTAGAACATGTCCAAGCCAACGAAGTCGATGTTTCAAGATGGAAACACCAATTGGGTTATCGTCACTGAGCCCGAACACACGATGCCGAACCTCTGCACTACTAATATGGTGTTGCCACTGGATGTCGGCAATCCTTCAGAGACAACGATGATCAAACACAGAGTCACCTAACATCCTCAACTCGGAGAGGCCAGGTTTCACAAGCATGGAGCAAAAGTGCTCTCACCGACGCGTTGTAGATCCGATCTTTTACAGCCAGACTAACATCACGAATGCGTCAAAGATGGCCCAGATTGGCATAAGCCGCTCTGGCTTTCATTTACGTCCATTGATCTCATCACTCACGCCACCACCAGCACTTATGCAGCTACCTAGATACACGAACTTCTTGACTATTTCTATCTGCTCACTACCCAGGGTGAGTGTAGGATCAGGGTCCTGCCAGTCTTGTAGAAGCACTTTGCACTTCGAAGGTGCAAAGCACATGCCGTACCTACGGACATTGATTACCAACTGATTAAGTGCGGATTGTATGACTTGGGCATTATCGCACAGTAAGACAATATCATCCGCATACTCAAGGTTGAGTAGTCTTTCTCCAGGCAACGGATTCACACAGCCATTACTTACATCCATCAGAGCTGTTTCCAGGTCATCGATAGCAAAGTTGAAGAGGAATGGTGAGATTGGGCAACTCTACCTAACCTCACTGTGTGAACGGAACAATGGAGAGAGGAGGTTGTATGTCCTCACTCTGTCGGAGGTGTTTGTATATAGGGCTTTTAAGATGTCAATAGACTTCTCAGACACACCCTTCTGCAATAGACACTCCCAGAGAACAGTCCTGTCCAGCGAATCGAAGGCAGCCCTGATGTCAAGATACACTACGATTGTTGGCCTTTGATAAGTATGACAGTGTTCTAACGTTTGGTGGAGGGTGAAGATATGATCAATACATCCTCGACCAGAACGAAAACCAGCCTGGTCTTCACGAGTCAATCTTTCTTGGGTTTTGAACAATCTCTGAAGTATGACGGAAGCCAATAATTTTGACGCAATCGGAAGTGGACTTATTCCTCGACAGTTGTTACAGAGACTGCGTGAACCCTTTTTAAAGTTAGAGACTGATTGCACGATGTTGAAACACTCTGTAACTCCCAAAACTTTGTAAACAACGCAGTCAGTTCCTTAACCAGAAGGTCACCACCATCTTTAAGAAATGTCGGAGGTAGGTCATCTGGGCCCGGTGACTTGTAGCGCTCCAAGAGTTGGAGTTCTTTGTGGACTTCCGCCTCATTCGATGGATTAGTCGACACAGGCCTTGGAGGGCAGGACAGTCTGATCGATGTTGCCGGAGCAGCAGACCAGTTGAACTGCCCTTCGAAGAACTCTGCCCATCGTCCGAGACATCGATGGGTGTTAGTGATTGGCATCCCATCATCCTCACAGATTGTTTCGCTCACACCAGACTTCTTGCTGCCAGTGGCTCGGATAAGAGCTTCCGGTAGTCACCAGATGTAGCTGCTGCTTCCAACTCATTAGCACGCCTCGACCATCAAGCTTCTCGGTCCTTACGCAAACTTTGCCCAATTTTGTTACGTAACAGTCATCGTTTGTGGAAAAACTCACGGTCCACCGAGTAGACCAACGGGCTTCAATAAGTTGTAAGGAGCGTGAAGAAACCCAGTGTTTATAAAGTGGACGTTTCGTGAAGCTGCAAGCGACTTTACTCGCCATTTTCATGGCGTCATCCAAATGCAACCAGTGCTCATCTGTACTTTTCGGTGGGATGGTAGCTAGCCTTGAACCTATCTCGATTTGATATTTAGTTGCAGCAGAAGCTGCAACCAATTTACTGACATCGATCTGTTTAGATCGATGAATTTGTTAGCCACTGGAAGGTAAGGTAAGATTAGCGCAAACAAGTGCATGATGAGAGTCCAGATTGGTACTTCAAAAGAAACGGTAGTCTTGTACACAACTACGTCAGCGGTAGCTGATCGCGATGTGATCAATCTGAGTCCAGGTTTGATATGCAGAGGGAGGACGCCAGGTGGCTGTCATCACTCTCGGCCATAACAAGGCGTTTGGGGGCGGAGATTCCTGAAATTCGTGATTATTGAGTTGTATTACTGTGATTCGATTATGAACTGATTCTCAACACTAATTCATCCATTCAGTTTATTTATTTCACTAATTTATTTATTTTTTTTGAACACCTAAATATGGGTACAATAGGGCACCAAATACATATGAGCCACACAGTTTCACTAATAAGCATAGGAACTATATATTGTGCAAGGTAAATCTGTTCTCTAAAACAAAATAATCCGCCGTTATTAAGGCAGTCATTTACAATATATATATCCTCGTGATTGCTGTATCAGTTGTTTATTTCTGAAATAATCGATTTCATCGCAAGTTAAGCGACATAATCCCTTATATATATATATATATATATATATATATATATATATATATATATATATATATATATATATATATATATATATATGCGCAACAATCTATGGCTATTATTTTTTCAAATAAAATTCATTGTACTGGCTTTCCTGCTTCTTTAAAAAATGCAGCATTTACAACAGGTCATGACTTTTCCTCGTGTGTGTGTTGTGTAAACAAATTGTTTTACTTTCTGTGTTTGCATAATCAGTGTGTAAATTGTTTATTCGCTGTTAAATCATTGGTTCCTATTTTATTAGTATTTATTCCTTATTTGGTTTCAAAAATGAACAACCCTACGAAAATGTTTGATTGATTTTAATATAATTTTAAAAGCATATAAACTAAGGTTTTATTCTCTATTAAAAATAAACAAATGCCATCCTATTAATCTAATTGACTAATGGGCTGCTATCAGTTACAATGAGATCTTTCAAATTTCGAAATATTACACCATGAAACAACTAGTAGTATGTCATGAGAGTTGTAATCAGGAAGTAAGGTTGGTATGATCGGTCACATGGCGCATTTTCTAATACTCTATTCCACTAGAATTTTTATCTGGTATTAATTAGTGACTAAGACTGTGACCCATATGGTGTGTAACATCTCTATATACGATTACTTCTAACATTATGAACACTCATTTCTGTATTACCCTCAGAGTAAAATGAAACATATAGCCAGAACATACTTGGCTCGTATATATGTTGTTTGACAGATTTTATGAAAAAAAATCATATGGCTTCCCCGTTGTGAACATTTAGATTTTATTTTTTTTCTTATAAGCGTTTTTAGCGAGTTGGTTTTCTACGGGATGGGGACGCTAACCCCATGCCCAACCCTCCTCCTTTACCCGGGCTTGGGACCAGCAGTAACTCTAGAAGAGCTACAGGCGGAGTTGTACATTTAGATAACATGTATTGACAAGTAGCTTCAATAGATAATTGTAATGCATCACTAAAATTTGTTAAGAACAGTACACTAATTTATTGCTCAGGCTGTAAGTTGAATTGTGTAAAATCTTGTAGAAATATGTGTAGAAGAAAACGTAGTTGTTTTGCATCAAATGTGTTAAGCCTAAACACTAGTACCATTAATGCGAAGTATATGTCATATAATATAATTATTAGTTAAAATTGTAGGTTCTCAACTAATAATTCACTGGTTCAAATCTCACTTTACCTACTTCAGTTTAGTGATCCAAGTGTAGTTGATTTATCTTCAAGATAATTCCTGCTGTACTCTATTCTTTTATGAATAAAATCTCACATAATAACATCAGATTAATTATTGACCATACATCAATATAAATTGGAAATCACAATATCCTCATGGCTCCATTATAAGTGGAAGGGAACTGAAAAAATAGGTCCATAATTAATCAATAAGTGAGGTTTAACATACATAATAGTTAATGCTCCAAACAGAATAATCCAAGTATTCAATAAGTATATGAAAAAAAACTCACAAATTTTTATCAGATAATCCCAAAAGTTGCAATTCAAACGATATTCAGTCCACCCTTACACTGACGGACATTTCTTATACTATTATATCAATAGAAACTAAATGAGAAGAGTATGTATTAAAAAGTTCAGCGTTAGAGTAAAATTAGTGATATTCTCTAATATTTTTGCTCTTACTTTTCGATAATTCGTACAAAGAAAGTCATTGGTACTTTTTAATGTTGAATTGACCTTTGAATAATATCACTTTGGTTGAATAAAAAAATACTCGATGTAGTAATATGCTTGTTTTATCGAATCTTTGTTCTTTTACTTCTCGTAATGACTAACATTAATTCATAAGATTGTGGACATCATTATTACTGCCTTTTTATTCTTAAAATAAAAGCAATATATTTTACCAGTTTCAAGGGCAATAGTCAATAATGATGTGTATGTAACTTCTGGACTTCGTTGATTTATTATTTTATATGTAGATTCAAGTATTTTTAGTTGTTGGCGAATAACCAGGTTACTTGTGCTTCTAGTTTGTACAAGAGTACCAATCCTCTAACCACCAGGGGATTCGATGATTCTTGGATAAATTCATAGCGAAGCCAAACGAGATCTATGGAAATCAGAAAACATTTCATTAGACTATTCTTAATTGTTGATCCTTTCCATTCATAGGAAAGCGTTAAAAATTTTATCATATAAATTAAAGGTTAACCAGTTTAGTATAGTTTATCAAATTTGGAAATACAAAGTTGTCTAATGTCACAAAGAAATAAATAAGCTCCATATAAAACTAGGAATAAGTAATCAATTAGGTCATAAGACCGTCCTACCATGAAATACGTAAGTAACGAAAGTTACAATATATACTGCATTTAATGTTGTTAATTATGTCTTAATTACGGATCACTTCTGCTAGCAACAAAATTACAACTTGTTAGATTATTGTTTCCCAGGTTAGTTAAAGTGAAATGTTTTTTTATGTTTTAGAGAGTTTTATCTGTAGCTATAATACAAAGCTCAGTTATTGTTTTTGGTCTTATAAGTTTAAACTGTTTTTGAAGAGACTTTTCTTTCGATGAAAATCTTTCATTTTTCTGTATAACAATGCTCGTGACTATTGTAGTACTCTTGTTCCAATTTTCTATAATGAATTGTTTTATGATATAAATAAACTGTTTGGGACTCATATTGGTATACTAGTGAGTATATCCTGTATTTTTTGAATTAATATTTCTGTTTTTACAGAAACTAAAGTATCTACTTCCAAGATCACTTTTCGTAAACGATTTCACTCGATTTTACTTTTTTGTGTAATTTCTTTGTAGATAGATGCAAATCTTTCTGTGGTAAAACAGCACATTCCTAACCTAAATGATAATATTAGTTTGCCAAAAGTTTCGGATAGTCCTTCTTCATCAAAACCATCTTCAATTAAGTCGAAAGTTACATCTAATTCGTCTTCTGAAGGTGAGAGAGTTACTCATATAATAAATAATAATTTCCTGTGAACGTAACATTTTATCTGAAATTCGTCAACCATATCCTATAAAATACATTACACAGAAAAAATTATGAAATGTCTCATCAATTTATGTTTTTACAATGATGTTATTGTTGATTACTTCTCATATATCTTAAGCCATACGGTTTAACAACTCATAATAAGTAGTTACTCATTATGTAACAGTGGTCTTAGCTTCAATATATCAAGGATTTTGATCGACTCTTAGCATCACCTTAACATCATCCACATATAATAGCAATATAGTCTTTTAAGGTTTACAAGCTCGCTAAAGTAGTGAGTGTATGTGGTCCCTTTACGTAACCTATGAGTTTCTGTTCCGCAAGCACTCATTCATTGGAGAGATTAAGTTTTTGTATCTGTTATCAAGTCATAACTACCCTGATAGGATATTTTTCACAGATCTCTTGAAAGTCCTTTAAAGCATCAGTGAAATAAGGTAACCAGAATCTGTATGGAATATCAATGAGAATTCCAATCGTTTTATGCTTTTGTGCAACCTAAGAGAGCCCATCATTAATGAAGGTTAACTTGGAAGAAATGAAAGGTGGTGACTTCTGGAATTATTTTTTAAAGAATAGAATCTAAGTGAAATTATTAATCATTTCACGTAATTTCCATTTCACACTATATCATTTTCACTACATGATAGTGCAATAGAAATGAGTACTAAATATTAGCACCTAAAATTCTATCAAGCCCATATAAATAGTGGAAGGATACTGATTGATTCGTTGCTATAATTATAGCAAAATCATTAGGTATTTGTCTTAAGTGTTTTTGTAGATATAATGTTCGCAATATCATTGTAACCTGTGGTTAAAAATGTAAGGTAATGTGACTCAGAACCTTTGGTGACAATGCATTAACTTGCCATTTGTTTCTTGGAAATCCTGAGCCTAACTTCATTCCATACTTTACACCATTCGATCTCATTCGTGACCTATGAGCCTCAATTCTTATGCTGATCTCTCAATTACAGTTGTCTTAGTCTCATCCTAGTCTCTCTTTTTATATGAAATATGGGTAAATTGAGCTAGTAAATATTTGTCCCAGGTCTTGGGTTGTCTGTGACTGACTAAACTATACATTTGGAATTCTTGATATTTTTCCTCTAGATAATAATACATTAGTATTTTTTCTCAACTTTTAGATTTGAAGATGTTGGAATCTTTAGTTGTCCAATTTTCTCGCTTTAATCAATTAACATCTTGTGTATATAGTGCAATGATAGAATGGCAACAGGCTGATGAACTAGTTACAAAAGTTCCACATCTTAAGTCACCCGTTGGACGTAAATCAGAAGGTTCAACTGATACTACCGGTTATACTTCATTTTCAGGACATTCAAGACCAATTCATACTATAGATATTGACATCGCCAGTTCATCAGAAGGAGCATATATCAATACTTCTCAAATCCCCATTCTAATTTTGTTACGTTATATGGATGGAATTTTTCATGTTCATCCACTTATTATTGATCAGTTGAAATATCCTTCTGTACAAGAGTCATCTCAGTTGAAAAATAATAGTTCAAGTGAAATTCAAAATCTATCTACTGTTTCACAAGAACAAAAGTTTGTAACTTCAAATTCCACCTTGATAACTGACTCGGTTCCCGTATCTGATACGATGTTGTCAACAGTCTCTAGAACTCCTAACAAACAACAACAGCCATCAAATAATTTTGCACAATCAAAGTTCGAAAATACTGAAGCTAATAACGTTAACTGCCACCCAGAACCTCCCAGTACCCATGGCATCGGTGAGCGGCTTTTGAAAAAGAAGTCTCACAAGAAACACTTTTCTGATGCTAACCCGTCTCCGAGCTTAGTTTCTTCGTCTGTTGCGAAACAATTCTCACTTCATTCCAGTGCTTTAGATGAGAACTGTTCTGATGCCTCTGTACCTTCCTCTAAACCTGATATATCCAATATTCCTAAACGGAAATCCAAAAGACGACGTTTACTGCAGTCTAATGAGTCAACAGATATATTACCCTTACCCATAGATGCTTCTTCAACTAATACAGATACTGATTTGGATAGTTATGGACGATCAGCTTCTTTTAATAAGTGCAATGAATCACCTGGGACAAAATCCCATAAGCCTAAAACTGTACGTAAATTAAATAATCTTGAGCCAGAGTGCTTTGAAAATCGGAAGCTCGATCGTATTGATAACTCAAGTTCACAGGAACGTGGGTCACATGCAGATGGTCACTTATTTTCAAAGAAAAAATCAAAACGATCGCACGCACACACAGAACATATAAAACCTAATTGTAATATGGTTTCACATCCTTGTAGAATTATTGCTTCTGATGATCAGTCGCCTGGTGCTTCCCCTCCTCCATCACGAAAATTTTGTCGCAGCAAGAGTGTAGCACCGATTGCACCGAAATCTCCTTCTAGTCATATCAGTTCACTTTCAAATGTACCTAATGTAAGTTGTCCTATTTCAGTTGAAGATAATACTTATCAGCCGAAAAGAATTAAACCATTACATTCTAAAGTACACGGACGACGTATTTCCGATTCTCAATCTGATTCTGACTCTTTCCCGACACCAACCTATAAACCATCGATCCCCGTCGATTCTCCAGATGCAAAGAACAAACATAGTCAACGTCGCCGTTCTCGTTCAGTCCATCTCTCATCATCAAGGCGAAAAAATGAGTCACCTGTAGAAGACCCTAGCAATGCTAACGCATCTGAATTGTCACAAGACTCTATAGGTTACAGTCCAACTAAAAGAAGTCTAATAAACGGTGGCGCTTCAAATATACCTGACGCAAATTCTTTACCTGTTTATCATGTTTCTCATATTTCCCCAAGTCCACCTCCTAAGTCACAATATAAAAATAAATCTAGTAACAGTCAGAATGATTTAGTTCGATCTAAAAGTTCTCACCATTCTAACTTTAAATCACAATCATCAATTGTTAAATCATCATCTGAAGTCCCACCATTTTATGCCCGTTGGATCAAGGAGCCTTCCAGTACGGATCGCTTTTCTAGTACTTCATCAAATAATAGTAATATTAGCAAAAAACACCAAGCACAATGGTAGCTCGTATACGTAGAGACAGTTCCTCTTTCAAAATTTAGAAATGTCAATATCACCATATTTATGATCCTAACTTTTGGAATTTAACGGTCTTTCATCACATAACATTGTATCATGTTGTGAATTGTATTATCTTCAGAACGCATTCAATATTAACTTTTTTTCTTTCCTACTCGTATTTTTTCTGTTTTTCACTGTGCTATTTTGAATAGTGAATTTCAACTGTATTTTACAATTATCAACCTACTGATTTCAGTACAATTTCTTTCTAAATGTGTGCTGTAAATGATCGTATTTCTCCTTTGACAATACCTTAATAGATCACTGTCAAAAATCATCAGGTACATTATACTATCCTAACTACCGCATTTGATAATTCGAAATATATTAATCTAACTATTATTATGTCACCGAATTGCCACATTGATGATAAAAATTTTCACTATCCCCCTGTTAGCCTTGTTCTTTATTATACACAGAATACTTTCTGCAAAATGGAAATTTATATCATTATTTGACTCAGTCGGTTGCTTAATTTCAGTTTTTCAATTCTTTTTGTTAGAGAGATAAATATATTATACATATAGAACTATTTCTTCCTGTATACAATTATTCCCCAACATATATATTTTCTATTTACATATATATATAATTCAGTGATAAAATCAGGGTTGTTTCCCTTGTCAATCTTGTTCCTCTCCTACCACTTCTTTTGTTTTGTCTCATGTATTTTTTCACATGTTTTAGTGTGACTTTCCTTCGCTAAGATCATGTCAATAAAACTGGTTTAAAAGAATCAAGATTGAATGACAAATTACATATATGTATTTCTGTTTTCCCTAAGTCTTCTCCTTGTTCTTTCTTTTTTTTGTTGTTGTTACTATCGTCTTCTGCCTTTTCTTATTTTTAAAGAATTATTTTGTAGTAAAAATGACATTTGGAATAAGAGTGAACGATATTCTGTTCGATCTAACCTTATGCCTTTTTGTTGAGTTCTATAATAGTTTGGTGGACTTGATAAGAGTACTATGTGTATATGAAAAGACATGGTGATATTTTCTCAGCTTTAAATGTATATAAACGTGAATTGTAAGTATAATGAGCAGAACAGGCATTATTTTGTATAACATTCACTTGCGTGAGTTATTAGTTAATATACTATGGAGTAATATTCAGATGGTAACTTTGTTTAGAAGTAATATGAGCGCACTTTTTTGCGATAACTAGGTATAGCGTACAAAGAAATGTTCATTGAAGTTGAAATATCCCTCAAGTGGTATAAAATGTTATCTGTTAATTCTTCAGTATGGAACATAAGCTGTGGAATGATAAGTAAAAACCACATAAATCGGAGGAATATTATATCGAATTAATTATTATAATAATATCGTATATTATTATGATACCGTACAGATGGGGACTGCAATGTTAATTTTTAGATTCATTCTCTACATTACATGTTTTACAAACTAGTCTCAACAGACGGCTTCTAATATACCATCAGAAGTTTCTCACTCAAACTGATTATTTATAAATAGTTTTTTCCTGAATCCTTTAAATATTCTGTGAAGAACGTTTCGATGTTTTTCTGAATTAGTGTCTTGGTTATATGAATGAAAATTTCAGAAAAGTTGGCTCATCTATGCAGTCTAATCAACAAAGTTTACATTAGCTTGAGCATAGAGGCTTCAACATACTCAAGTGAAGAAGAAAGATCCTCAAACACAACACAAAGAACACCAACGCAATCACACTTGATGGAGAAGCTTTGGAGGAGATGGGATCTTCCACGTACCTGGGAAGCATCATCAATGAAAAAGGAGAATCCGATTCAGACGTAAAGGCAAGGATGGGAAAAGCAAAGACCGCATTCCCACAGTTGAAGAACATATGGAACTCAAAACAACTATCTGTAAGCCAACATCAGATTGAGAATTTTCAATACGAATATCAAAACAGTTCTACTGTACGGAGCTGAAACTTGGAGAACTACAACCATCATCAAAAAGGTACAAATATTTACAAACAATTGTCTACGCGAGGTAATCGATGTCCGTTGACCGGACGCTATCAACAACAGTCTACTGTTGGAGAGAACAAACCAGCTTCGAGCTGAAGAGGAAATTAGTAAAAGATGGAAGTAGATAAGACATACATTGAGGAAATCATCGAACTGCATCACGAGGCAAACGCTAACTTGGAATCTTGAAGGGAAACGGAAAATAGGAAGACCAAGGAACACATTGTGCCGGGAATTGAAAGCAGTCATGAAAAGTATGAATAGCAACCGGAAAGGATTGATCTGGACGGAGTATGATGGAGAATACTTGTGGGCGGCCTATGACCCTCCATAAGTGGTAACAGGCGCAAGTAAGCTTATTGTGAATAGTATGAAACAAGCTTAACCTTCCTAAAATGACAACATGTGGAGTTGTAATAACTAGTGGAATGCATAATATTTCAATACTGAGTAAGTTCTCTAAAGTGAATGGGAATTTTAGAACAAACCTGTCTTGTTGCAATATATCAGGATATGGATTTAAGCTTTATGGTACTTTGGTCGTTTAACAAACCATATGCATGATCATCGATCCGCTTCATCTTACTATTCTCAAAAGCTCTGTCATATTCCGTACGTCATTCAAATATATTTAAAAACACCAGTCAGCGTACATCGATTATTTTTCTTACATAACTCACAATCACAATAAAATAATCTGATTAGCATAGATCTGTATGTATTTAATATGTATTTTATATCTGATACCCGTTTGATTGAGTTTTTTTCATGTTTTCTAATACAATTGGTTTGCTATGGTATGTCTAAATTAAAAGCTAAAAGTTTAATTAGCTTTAAAGTAAAGATTAATTCACTTGTAGAATTTATTTTAGATTATGTCGAATTGCGTACAATGAATATAAATGTATGTTTAGATAAGTTGTGCGCAGGAAGCTTAGATAATCAACTAATTCTCTCGATTATTTGAGAAATGATAAACGCTTTAAAAGAGTTAAATAATTTCTCATTGTTGTTATTCAGGAATGTAATTGATCAGCCATAAGTGCATACTTAGCAAATTACCTCCGTTTGTTTACATGTTTCTTGATGGACGACGATCTGAAATACAATTCGTTGCAATTAATTCCCTACACTAGCTAGTAATAACAGATTATGATGAACATGAATTCAGTGCTTAAGTTTACCATTTAGGATTCCATCATTTTTCTAGTTTCATTTGAAGTGGGTATATATATAACATTCAAGTTACTTAGATAATGTCAATTTATTTATTTGAACACATAAATATTAGTACAAGAGAGCGCCAATATATATGCGCCACACAAAACAATGAGAATTCGAAGAGAAAAAAAGGTAGGGAGCGAAAAAAGAACAATAAGGAAGAGATTGGTGTAAGGTACTGTAGTAATAACAATAGTAATAATGAGGGAACGGAAAGGTACAATCAGAAGAAATCTTTCAGTTAAGTAAGATACAACCACTTTTATGAAGAAAGTAAAAGAAGGTTACATCAGGATCGCCACTGGCTTCTATCCTGAGCCATATCTGAGTGCGCCTCTAGCCACTGTGTAGCACCATCTCTCGGACCCCAACCAGGGAGACGTGAAGGACCGATAGAAGCCAATCCTGTACAGCTTTCTTTTTTTTACCACGACACCATGTCATACACTGACCACCTCTTCCAACTAATCTCAGCGTCGGCAAATAATGCACGACGTGGAATTCTCTGGGACGACATTCGTAGAACATGTCCAAGCCAACGAAGTCGATGTTTCAAGATGGAAACACCAATTGGGTTATCGTCACTGAGCCCGAACACACGATGCCGAACCTCTGCACTACTAATATGGTGTTGCCACTGGATGTCGGCAATCCTTCAGAGACAACGATGATCAAACACAGAGTCACCTAACATCCTCAACTCGGAGAGGCCAGGTTTCACAAGCATGGAGCAAAAGTGCTCTCACCGACGCGTTGTAGATCCGATCTTTTACAGCCAGACTAACATCACGAATGCGTCAAAGATGGCCCAGATTGGCATAAGCCGCTCTGGCTTTCATTTACGTCCATTGATCTCATCACTCACGCCACCACCAGCACTTATGCAGCTACCTAGATACACGAACTTCTTGACTATTTCTATCTGCTCACTACCCAGGGTGAGTGTAGGATCAGGGTCCTGCCAGTCTTGTAGAAGCACTTTGCACTTCGAAGGTGCAAAGCACATGCCGTACCTACGGACATTGATTACCAACTGATTAAGTGCGGATTGTATGACTTGGGCATTATCGCACAGTAAGACAATATCATCCGCATACTCAAGGTTGAGTAGTCTTTCTCCAGGCAACGGATTCACACAGCCATTACTTACATCCATCAGAGCTGTTTCCAGGTCATCGATAGCAAAGTTGAAGAGGAATGGTGAGATTGGGCAACTCTACCTAACCTCACTGTGTGAACGGAACAATGGAGAGAGGAGGTTGTATGTCCTCACTCTGTCGGAGGTGTTTGTATATAGGGCTTTTAAGATGTCAATAGACTTCTCAGACACACCCTTCTGCAATAGACACTCCCAGAGAACAGTCCTGTCCAGCGAATCGAAGGCAGCCCTGATGTCAAGATACACTACGATTGTTGGCCTTTGATAAGTATGACAGTGTTCTAACGTTTGGTGGAGGGTGAAGATATGATCAATACATCCTCGACCAGAACGAAAACCAGCCTGGTCTTCACGAGTCAATCTTTCTTGGGTTTTGAACAATCTCTGAAGTATGACGGAAGCCAATAATTTTGACGCAATCGGAAGTGGACTTATTCCTCGACAGTTGTTACAGAGACTGCGTGAACCCTTTTTAAAGTTAGAGACTGATTGCACGATGTTGAAACACTCTGTAACTCCCAAAACTTTGTAAACAACGCAGTCAGTTCCTTAACCAGAAGGTCACCACCATCTTTAAGAAATGTCGGAGGTAGGTCATCTGGGCCCGGTGACTTGTAGCGCTCCAAGAGTTGGAGTTCTTTGTGGACTTCCGCCTCATTCGATGGATTAGTCGACACAGGCCTTGGAGGGCAGGACAGTCTGATCGATGTTGCCGGAGCAGCAGACCAGTTGAACTGCCCTTCGAAGAACTCTGCCCATCGTCCGAGACATCGATGGGTGTTAGTGATTGGCATCCCATCATCCTCACAGATTGTTTCGCTCACACCAGACTTCTTGCTGCCAGTGGCTCGGATAAGAGCTTCCGGTAGTCACCAGATGTAGCTGCTGCTTCCAACTCATTAGCACGCCTCGACCATCAAGCTTCTCGGTCCTTACGCAAACTTTGCCCAATTTTGTTACGTAACAGTCATCGTTTGTGGAAAAACTCACGGTCCACCGAGTAGACCAACGGGCTTCAATAAGTTGTAAGGAGCGTGAAGAAACCCAGTGTTTATAAAGTGGACGTTTCGTGAAGCTGCAAGCGACTTTACTCGCCATTTTCATGGCGTCATCCAAATGCAACCAGTGCTCATCTGTACTTTTCGGTGGGATGGTAGCTAGCCTTGAACCTATCTCGATTTGATATTTAGTTGCAGCAGAAGCTGCAACCAATTTACTGACATCGATCTGTTTAGATCGATGAATTTGTTAGCCACTGGAAGGTAAGGTAAGATTAGCGCAAACAAGTGCATGATGAGAGTCCAGATTGGTACTTCAAAAGAAACGGTAGTCTTGTACACAACCACGTCAGCGGTAGCTGATCGCGATGTGATCAATCTGAGTCCAGGTTTGATATGCAGAGGGAGGACGCCAGGTGGCACATCAGCGATGACTGTGCTGGTAGTTAGTGCTAGCCAGAAACAGGTTGTGGTCTGTGCACAGTTGCAGTAGACGGTCTCCGTTATCTGACTTGCGGTCAACAATTCCCCTAAACGACTCTCTTCTGTGCCTAGACGCCCGACCTGAGCATTCAAGTCTCCAGCTAGTACTACCATATCTGTCGAACGCACTTTCTGTAAAAGAACTGTTAACTGATGGTAGAATTCATCGTTGATTGCGTCCGGGCTGCAATCTGTCGGAGCATAGGCGGAGATGACGATAGACCATTGTTTCTCACACTGATTTCTTCTTACTTTGATAGGACTTTATAATTTGACAGCACATAACCGACTGTTGATGGGGATCCAATCGACTAGTGCTGCCTCAGTTGTAGCGCTTATTGCGACACCAACGCCAGCGAGACCAGACGAAGATGCCACAGCGTCCCTGGATAAACGCACGTAAAACAAGCTTTTTGAAGCGACAGATGGAGATCGAATTTGTAGTACTTCACCAGAGTCTTGAATACGGGTCTCGGATAGACAACAGACGTCGATATTAAAACTTTTTAAAGACATAGCCGACCTTATCTGTTGTCCGATCTGCATTAGTGTGCGAACGTTGAAGGCAGCCAATTTGAATGGTATATGTGGTTTCAGAAAAACTGATTTAGTACTCATATTCGGTGGTAACATACAATTTTCAACCGGACAGTGACTCAAGGACGTTTAGATAGAACAGAGTTTCCACCATAGGCGAGCTGCTGTATAAGTTGAAAAATACCGATACAGAAAGCGGCAATAAAGATAGTAGGTAAGTGATGTAGTAATTAAAAAATATTAAGAAAAGAACGCGAATTGTCTGGCTTAATCGATGACAGAATAGTATTTTCAGTAATTATCGTCATTCCATTTTATTTGTGTGTGGGCTGTGATACTGCCTGTTTCAGTCAGTCAGTCAGCTACAACGTAGGACCAGGCAGGTAGTTCTCTTAGGGGGTCACAACCGGAGCCTTTGACCTAAAGGTCTGACCCACAGGGCAGTGGAGCATCGTGGGGAGATGCAGTCCCATGTTAGCCGGTGACCAACAATAGGTTCATACGTCATTTGTTCCCGCAGGATACTGGAGCCCATGTGCACCATTTGTTTGGAATCCGGTTAAAGCTCCGGACACTCGCTTTTCGTCCTCTCATTTTCGTAAACAACACCCCCGCCACGATAAGTCAGTGAGTAGGACTTCCCTGGCAGAGACTGTGTACACCTGGTCATGTAAGAGCATTTCGAGTGGGAGGGCGGGCTCTCCCTCTCTAGGCCGTACCAGGACATTTGATGACTGATGACCTACTAACAATTTGTTTAAATAGATAATGATCATTGGGTCATATTTCAAGCTTAAAAGATCAACGGCCATGTTTCGAATTTAAATGAAAATTTCCTGAGTATGAAGCATAAAATAGAAAAAAATACTTCTTACTATTGTTAACTTGGTATCTCAATACCAAGTTTTCAAATAAATTGATCATTGAATAAAAAGTCAATAACGAAATAATAGTATACTTGTGACATTTCAATGAGTAGAAATCTGGGTTTCTGACGTTTCTCCAAAGGAGATATGCGTTAAGTTAATTTGGTCATTCATCTGTTTACTCTGAAGAGGTGGCTAACATCAAGTCTCAAAACATCAGAAATCCAAACTTCTAATCATTGAAATATCACAAATATATGATTATTTATCATCATTGTAAAGTAAGTTAAATAGGACCATTTTTAATTATGCGAAATACAAACTTTTATTAAAAACGAAAGTAAAATAGGTACGAGACTATATTTTATGAACGAACCAATCAGATATAAGATAATGAATCCCTGCATATTTTCTATAATCCTATTCTGTTCCTCAACATTTTTATCTTCGAGAAAAAAATTCTCGGTGTTTCATAGTGCCGGAGGCAATCAGTAGTGTAATTGGCAAGCATTTTAATGCCATCATAATTAC